TGGTGGGTTCAAACCCAGCCCTAGCCAAACTGCAAACAAAAAATAGCTGGGTGTTGTGGCGGGCACCTGTAGCCTCAGCTACTCAGGAGACTGAGACAAGACACTCGCCTAAGCCCAGGAGTTGGAGATTGCTGTGAGCTGTGATGCTATGGCACTCTGCCAAGAATGACAAAGTGAGACTCTGTCTCAAAGCCACTGCCCCTATTATAATTCAAATTCAAGCCAACTGTAAAAAAAAAAAAAAAAAAAAAAACCAGGTAAGAATTTAGGCATCTAAATAGTCACCAAACAAGGAAAGGAAAAGGAGATTGAATTCTATAGTTTCTTCCATGAATGTACCAAGAGAGATATCCTCCTGATTTTAAGAGGCATCTTTTAAGGCTCTATGTTGCTATTGAATAGAGAATAAGATCTGGTTTGTTGCCCGTCTGTAGGCCTAGAGAAATTGCTGTGTGGATGTCATGTCTGTAGTGATTGGAAAACCCCTGATTGGCCATGGGGCCAGCAGCTTTAATTGACTCACAAGGTATTGTGTCCTGCAAGTACATCCTTGTACTCTGCATTCTTTCAGAGGGTAAGCTGCAGAGGTTTTCAGAAAAATGTTCTTACCACGTACTTCAATTAGAATAGAACCAAGACTGGTTTTCAGGCTATACTTTCATTTTTCACTACAGATAAAACCTCAGCTCCACAGTCCCTTACTTTAAAGTGAGGTTCGTATTCCCAGCTGAGCCAGCTCATCCAGGTACTATTGATGTCAAATGGAGAAGCTGGGTCCTGGATGCTAGCTGAGCTGTCATATTTCAAACTGGAAAAAAAAATCAAAGGTAAAAGAATCTGGAATTGTATATAAAAAGGACTAATGTGAGCATGAACCCTGAGCCTCTGATGTTCCACAGAAGTTTGGAACTCTCTGTAGATTGCAGATTTAGCAGACATAGAACCCCAAGTCTCTATTCCAAAGATGTTTGGAACCTTGTCTTCAATATGTAGATACAGGCAGACAGTGCAGCACAATTTTCACTCAAAGCTATGATTTTGGATGGTTGGTAGCTTCTAATTCCACCCAACACGTGGGCCAGGTATTTGACCCAGAAGCCCTTTATAGCCTTGGTATAACCAATTCTCTTCTCTCCTTTCAAAAGCTGTTCAAAAAAGAAAAAAGAAGGATGCTATGCACGTCTCATGTTATTTGGAAGTAAAGATAGGGATTTCTTTGGAAATTCCTGTGAGTCACCTGGTTAAGGAGCTTTCTGCTGGTGTTGAGGAGCAAAGCAGATGATTTCCATGAATGGCTAAGACAGCGAGCAGGGAAAATGTCCCAACATCCTTCTTAATTTTCCTTCCAACCTCCTGGCTCTGCAAATCTAAAACTTACTATTCGTGGCCTAAGAAGGTGGCCTCACCTAGTTTGGGGGTCAGGGAGTCCCTCCATTTTCCAAATGTTCCAAATGAACATTTTATATACTTTTATTCTTTCATTCAGTCATTCAAAAAAGTACATTGAGCAGCTGCTGTGGTAGGTGGAAGGAAAATAGTAGGGCACAAACGACATAGCTCCTGGAGCTACCGTGTCTAGCACTATCTCCACATATTATATTATGTGGAGAAATCAAGGCCCCAGTGGAAGGCAGGAGGGCAGGAGCTGGGAGACTGAAAAATGTGGCAAAGAGGCAGATAGGAACAGAGGCCAGTGCTCCTGATTGACCTCAAGGTTCTTTGTTAATCACAAAATCTTGGTCCAAAGGATCCAAAACCAATGTAGGTTTAAAACTAAATTTACATGCTCAGCAAGATAGCTCACACCTGTAATCCTAGCACTCTGAGAGGCCAAGGTGGGAGGACTGCTTGAGTTCAGAAGTTTGAGGCCAGGCTGAGCAAGAGCAAGACCCGGTCTTCACAAAAAATAGAAAAACTACCCAGGCATTGTGGTGGGCACCTGTAGTCCCAGCTCCTTGGGAAACTGAGGCAAGAGGATTGCTTGAGTCCAAGTGTTTGAGGTTGCTGTGAGCTGTGATGATGCCACAGCACTCTACCCAAGGCAACAGTGCCAGATTCTGTCTCCAAAAAGAAAAAATAAACCACCTAAATTTATAAACTCTGTGAGCTCAGGAACATTCCAGAATAAACTAACCAGTCACATTATAAGGGGTTATGACCCCTTATATTTTATATTATATAAAATAATTATATAAATTCTTACATGAAATATAGTCATTAAGAAACCAATTAATGTGAGTAGTGGTGCTCTTCACCATAGGAAAGTGCTCAGGACAGGCAAATGCGCTCTCCTTGAACAATCCAGTAGTCTTACTCCTCTTAGGGAGATTAACAGAGTTCCCACAGGCACAATTCAATCTATAAAGTTATACGCCCACTCACAGAGGAGTCCTCCTTCCCTGTCAGTGTCTTTCCCTTTCAACTATGTCATTTTACAACTTTGCTAGTTTTAAAATATTTTTACGTTTCCAATTCAGTTTACTGAACCCTGAGTTCTCATCTACCAGACTCCATTGGTTCAGAAACTACAAGCAGGAAGTTGGTTAGAGAATATAGGGCTCATTTGTGCAACCAGGAAGATTTGAAAGAAAAATTGCCTGAGGCCTAGACCTGTACAGGTAAAGCAAGTGGGCGCAAGAGACTGGTTGCATAGACAAAGGTCCCCATAAAGATAATTTGCTAGAAGCCAGCCAATGTTAGGCTTCCTGTTGGCTCCCACCATCACTTCCTCATTCCCCTGCAGGGCAGGAGGTCTTCATGTTAGAGAAGAGGAAGAAAGAATAGGAGAGGAAGAATTTAGCAAGCACAGGACAGGGTAGGAGAGGTAGGCCGGAGTGCTCTAGGTACGAACTATACCAGGTGTGGCCCAGATGTTGGCTAGAGACAAATGTCCTCTTGTTAAGGAGGGTAAGGGAGAAAGAGGAAGAAGTGATGAATTTCTGAGAAAAGGTAGATTAAGGGTGTGGAGGAGGCATGTCAGGGGAGGGTCACAGATACAAGGCTAAAAATCTCATACTGAACCAGGAAAAGAATAGGCTATTAGGTGACCCCTGTGGCTCAAGGAATAGGCAATGGCCCCATATACCAGAGGTGGCAGGTTCAAACCCGGTCCCAGACAAGAACTGCAACAACAACAACAACAAAATAATAAACATAGGCTATTGAGGTCACAGATAGGAAGACTAAAATTCCCATACTGAATCATGAAAAGAATAAAACGTAGGCTATCATGAAATAGCTATTGGGCTTCAGAGTCAGCTTAGGCCTAATCTTTTTCTACCTGTGTCTTCTTCAAAAAATTAGGTATACAAGGTCAGACAAGTTTATGAAGTCTTCTTAGACAAAGTGCTACATGCCTCGTTGCTGAATATCACTGTGGTCACCAGGTGCCCTAGGGAAGTAGAACCATTGCCAGGTTTAAACCATTTTTGTTGTTGCAAGTTTTAGGCTGGGACCAGGTTTGAACCCGCCACCATTGCCTAGAATATATAGCAATTATTCTAGGATAAGTTCTCCAATATACCTATCAGACCTTGTATGATGATGGTTCTGATGGCCATTCCAGAAAAAGAGCTCCAAAATTGCTTTGAAGAGTAGACTAGGTGCTGGCATCAGTGCAGAGCTTCCCAAGAGGGGAACCTTGAAGGTGACAGCACTGATATTCTGCAACGAGTTATGCAACATTTTTCTAGGATGAGTTCTCAGACTTAATTGTTTGATCTCATACTAATACCTGACCTAATAAGATTACAACGAACCTCCTTACATTGGCCATCAGTACAGTAGGCCTAGTTCCTTATGTTGACCACCTCCACATATTGACCAGTTTGTTACAGTCCCTTGGGTGATCAACTTACAGATGTTCTTTTGTATTAAGAAATTAACATAAAGCACTGGTATCTTGTAAATGCTCAAATATCAACTATTAATCAAACCATTTATTGGAGATGCTATTTATATTTCTTTTAGTTTATATTTTTATTTATTTTTGTAAAGATGGGGTCTTATCCTACTGACTGGGTTGGTCTTGAACTCCTGGCCAAAAGCAATCCTCCTACCCCTGCTCCCAAGGTACCAGGATTATAGATGTAAGCCACTGTGCCTGGCCCAAATCTGTCTTTTTTGATAGGAATTATTGTAATCTGTTGTTGTAAGACCTATGGAAGTTGCCAACACATAGTTTTGAATTGTCATCATGTGGGAAAAATATAAAACCTCAATCCCTTAGGTCCCTGCTGGCTTGGGAGTGGTCAGCCCTCAACATCTTGTCTCTAGAAAGAACTTTCTAGATTCCTGTAATGAGCTAGGCTCATGCCTGGAATCCTAGCACTCTAGAAGGCCAAGGCGAGTGGATTGCCTGAGCTTAGCAGTTCAAGACCAGCATGGCAAGAGAAAGACTCCATCTCCACTAGAAATAGAAAAATCAGCCAAGCGTTTGGCAGTAGCCTGTAGTTCCAGCTACTCGGGAGGCAAAGGCAAGAGGATCACTTGAGCCCAAGAGTTTGAGGTTGCTGTGAGCTATGACACCACAGCACTCTACCCAGGGTGACAGAGTAAGTCTTTATATAGAGAGATTCGTGTAATGGCTGCTTCCTGGAAGCTGTGTCACATGGAACTTCTTAGCCTTAGCATCTGATCCAGGGCTCCAGAAAAGGAAAAATTTCAAGACCTATAGAATTATTATATATATAGGGCAGCACCTGTTGCTCAGTGGGTAGGGTGCTGGCCCCATATACTGAGGGTGGCGGGTTTGAACCAGGCTCTGGCCAAACTGCAACAAAAAAATAGCCTGGTGTTGCGGGGGGGTGCCTGTAGTCCCAGCTATTCAGGAGGCTGAGGCAAGAGAATAGCCTAAGCCCAGGAGCTGGAGGTTGCTGTGAGCTGTGACGCCACAGCACTCTACCGTGGGTGATAAAGTGAGACTCTGTCTCCAAAAAAAAAGAATTCTTATATATATAAACCACTTCCTTGGAACCTTCAGCCCTCAGGACCCCAGCACAATGACTGTGGTCTTAACCTCGGTGCTCCTGGTCCTCCTTTCCGTGCTGCAGGTGCGACCTGTTATTGAAGAGGCGGGGGCTGGAGCTGCCAGCGCCCTCTTGTTGGGTGCAGTTCTCAGCGTCACAGGCACCTGTGCTGGCTTGGGGATATGCACGGTAGAGATACGGACAGGTGTGACTTTGAAGGACCTCCTGAATCAAACCTTGCCCTGAAAACCATTGTACTGTTGAGACTAAACGTGAGCTTTGGTGTCTCATAGTTTCCAAGAAACAGTAAATAGATTTGCATATTATTTGTTGTTTCCCTTAAAATGGGAACAAATTGACACATAAATGGGAAAAATGTTTTCTTTACAAGAAGTAATGCACTAAATAATGCCTATAATTTATACGTGCTGGTTAGAAAGGGGGTCAAAGTAGTAAGATAGTTGAAATTTACCTAAGTATTGTTTCATGGTTTTAGAATTTTCAAAGCACGTGAAACAGGAAAAAGGAAGTTTTTGCCCAGAATCCTAGGAAATCTCCACTGTTAAGTTATAATCACTGCCTCCTGAATTACTGAGTCTTTTTACCATATTTTTATTATATTTTTGTTTTATCGCCCAAGTTAATATTGTGTTTAGATACCATATAGCCAAAAATTGAAACTTTTATCTCTGGGTAAAAAACTTTAGAAAGATGTATACAGTGTATCTAATATTGAAGTGGAAAAAAGATTTGATATAAAAAAACCCTTTATATTAACATTAAAATGCAGAAGAGATCTCATTTTAAAAAGAAATAAACTTTATAGTAGTAATTGATTAACAGCCGTATGGCAAGAAGTGCTATATTAAACATAAATCTATTATGTTAAAAAAAAAAAAAAAGAACTTTCTAAAGCTATTTTTCCAATATTTTGGGTCAGTCTGAGTCATTTTCTATTTAGTCAAATGTACTTCTTGAGAAATGTTCCATAGTAAGTGCACAAGAAATATTTGTTGGAAAAATGAATGAGAATTCCTAGGACAGAGCCCGGGGAACATATATAGACTTTCTGAGTTGGGTAGAAAAGGCTAGAGCGTCACAGGGAAGAGAGAACGTGCAGCACAGGTGGGGAGAGGAAACTAGCAAAGTGTGATATTACAGAAGTCAGGATGGGAGCGTTTTAAAGAAGCGGTACACTGTGCACCATAAAAACCAGGCCAGGTGCAGTATGGCTCACACATGTAACCCCAGCACTTTGGGGGCCAAGACTAGAGGATCACATGGGTCCAGGTGCTTGAGACCAGCCTGGGCAATACAGCAAAGACCTACAAAATAGCAAGTCTCTACAAAAATAAAATTAAATTCAAAGGAAAAAATGTTAATGAATTCAGGAACATAGAAACCCCTGACTTTGTCAAAAATGATTTCCACGGAGTGGCTGGACTGAAAGCTAGATTGGAATGTGGCCAAGAGGCTCGGTGCCTATAGCTCAACCGGCTAAGGCGCCAGCCACGTACACCTAAGGTGGCGGGTTCGAATCCCCAGCCCGGACCGCCAAAACAACAATGACGGCTGCAACCAAAGAATAGCCGGGCGTTATGGCGGGTGCCTGTGGTCCCAGCTACTTGGGAGGCGGAGGCAGGAGACTCGCTTGAGCCCAGGAGTTGGAGGTTGCTGTGAGCTGTAATGCCAGGGCACTCTACCCAGGGGGACAGCTTGAGGCTCTGTCTCAAAAAAAAAAAAAGGAATGTGTCCAAGAGTGACTATATATGTAAGACGAGAAAATAGAAGCGGTAAATACAGATAGTTAATAGAAGTTGGCTTTTAATGAAGGAGAAAGGATATCTATCTACGAATTCTTGGCTTCTGGGTGATAAAAAAATTGATAAAGCTGAAAATATTTGAGGAGAAAGGGATTAAATGACATCGTGTGTAGGGAAGCACAGTGTGCTGTGGCTGCAGTCAGGAGTGAAGGCGTTGTCGTTATTGCTCTCAGAACCAGCTTCCCCATGGTGAGTGAGTGTAGACTTGTCTGATCTTCTCCCAAATCTGTAGGAAGTTCTTATGGGAGTGTCTTCCCCCATTCAAACTAATCAGCACAAGCCAGAAAAAGGCCAAAAAACAATAACAGGAAATTAAAGCCAAGTTGAAATAATTACACATTAACAAACACAAATGACCAACACAAATATCAACACTCCAATTAGAGTGAAAGTTACAACCCAGGGATGCAGAAGCAAGGGCAGGGATGTCAGGGAGTAGATGAATCTATGGGTGATTTAGGAATTTAAGTAGCCCCTGGCTCTGGAAATCCTGTATTTAAAAAAGAAATAAGAAAATAGACTTTGACACATTTGGAGAAATTTAACTCAGATACAGACAATTTCAAAGATAAACAAAGCCAAACCCTGGTTATGGCAATGGAGACAGAGTTCATTCAGCAATGGACCACTGCAGTAGGGCAGGGGACTGGCATGAACTGAAGCAGGAAACTGGCTCCCAGCCCTACCTTCTACCTCCTCTTTTCCTTCCCACCCCGTGGAGTTCCAGTGATCTTTTCTCTCCATTGTCACAAGCTATACTGTTTATCATTGGTTCTGGGATCCTAGTCCCTGGAGTTTTTAGATTTTCATTCATCAAATAGCTTAAAAGTATGCTATCACTCCTTTTATCCTCGTTTCTCCATTTATCCTCCATAAAGCTTCTTCAAGAAAACACATAGAAACCATATTCTGTGAGTACTTGTATGTTTAAACTTGCTTAAAAACCTGATTATAGACCTTTAACTTTTCTCCTTTGGGAACGGCATTCTGCCCCTTTCCCCTTTCTGATATTCCCATTTGTAGGGGTTTCCTCTGCCCTTGGCACATGCAAGTGACAAGACGATAGGAAATGTCAGCAGGGTTCTGGGGCCACTGACATTGCTAGTGTGACTGCCACTCACAGCAACATGCAGAGGCCTGGATCCTTGTGCCCAGTCTGAAGACTCCTCAGCACTAAGAAATGACAGAATTGTGCCAGGGAAGTGTGGCAGTAAGCCCCAGGCTGGCCATGGGGGTCTGTCCCACAATATTGCAGCTCCTTATTGGGCCTCTAAACCCACAAACACAGGCAAGAAAAATAGGGATATCTCAAAGGAATGGTCTAGCTAGTGCCCATTAACCCATGTTCAGTATTATACAAACCCAAGACTTGGGCCAGAAGTTTACACAAACCTGGTGAGTTAAGTACAATAGCGAAGATCAAAGGCCTCCAGTATACTGTCTGAAAGTGTAGTCATTCCTGGGCAAATCCCAGGCAATCGGAGAATAGTTTCATAGACGAATGCCCTTAAAATATTTGACATCAGTAGCTTGTAAAATTAAAAGGGGGAAGCAGTTAGGTAATGACCCCAAACAATTTGAAGAGATCACGTTCACCAAACAGATCTTTACTTTGACAAGGCAAATTTGAAATGTAGAGGACAAAGTGACTTTAAGTGCCCCAGAACAAGCAAGTGGAAAGAAAACTAAACCATCAAATTGACATAGTCAACGAGCACTTGCCATGTGTGCCATTGGACTGAGCCACCTGACCCTACTAGGCAGGTACCACTTCCATTCCCCTGTAACATAGTGTGCGCCCTCCAAATTCAACCTGGATCTGAACTCAGGTGTGATCACGGAGCCCAAGCTTGTAATCACAAATGCAACTCCAATTCATGCAAATAACTACCAGTATTCCCAGCAAACAGTGGTCCTGAGGTTTCTGTTGAATCCACTTCCTATGATCTATTTATATTGCATTATGGAATTTTAAGTTACTTTCTGAGGCAGTTGCTCTATTCTAGTCCCATTCCATGTTCAGAGAAATGGATACAAAAAGGCTGGATCACTTGAAGCTAAAAAAAAGAAATCGCAGATGTATTTCTGACACCTTCACCTGGGCATCTAAGTCTTAGAATATTAGAAATTAAGGGAACCTTCTTGGAGGAGAGAAGGCAGTCCCCTACCACTTTGTTTCAACTCTGTTATAGAGATGCTATAAAGCCCAGCAGCGTCTAAGAGTATCTTTTCCATTCATTCAACCTCTATGCCTGGCCCTGGGCTAAGCACACTGTATTTAGCAAAGAGGAAGGGACAGGGGATCCATCTTCTTAAAGTCCAGTGGACAATATAGTTTCATAGATTTGCATAGTCCTGAATCCAATTGATATCATAGTTTAATTTTTGTCCCAGGCATTGGGGGACTGATACTCATGGTAATAAGGCATCATTGTTTCTTAGCATGCATCATATTGACTGCTCCCAGGAGAATTGCTAAAGAGGTATACAGATGTGGAAATTAACCAGATGGAGTATATAGATTAGTTGTCAGGATCTGCTTCTGACTGGCCAGGTCTGTGGACCCAACTTAGGTAGGTTCTGGACACGAACCACTAAGCTACCTTGCTCAGGAACAGTTTCTCTTAGGCGCTTGAGGGCTAGCTACTTTAGCTGGAGAGAGATAGACAGAGTATCTTAGACTAAAGCAGTCTTCTTAGAACAGATAGCTCTTAGTCTTTAGCAAAGCTTGGTAATCTTCAGCAGAGACACGCCTGCTGGCGTTCTGCAGGCAGGAGAAGAGACAGAGTCAGAGTAAGCGTGTCCGTGATAGAATGCGCGTGCTTTTTGACTGCCTTCTCCTCCAGCCTAACATAAGGCTGAGCTCGTGCCTCTCAACACCACAGGTGTAGAGACTACCAATTCTCCAATGCTCTCATCTCACGAGCTCTCTCATGCTAGTTAGAACTAAATCTCTCTCCATGCCCTTTTCACCAAGGTGTTCCATTACAGGTATTTCCTATAACTCTCGCTCCTCCTAGCCATAGGCTATATGGGCTGCTACATTTCCCCCCTTTTTTATATACAAACAAAATTTTTAGTGTGGTAAGGGCAGTTCTTCCTGTTATCTAGCCCTTTTCATTCTAGGCAAAAGATGGTAATTAGCAAGAGTTCAGAATTCCAGGTATGGGCTCTTTAAATAAGGAAGCCCAGTACAGATGTAAACTATTAGCCGCTGCTAGGGGAAAATGGTGATTGTGATGTTAATTCCCTTAAAAGTCTTTTTAAACGTAGAAAACTGTGAAATCTTTCCTGAGAGAATTTACTATTTCTTTAACTGTAGGAACTTTCCTTTGATATTTACTTAACCGACGAACGGACCGCTTT